CCTTAAGGACACTCATAGTTTAGGACTTTCGTATCCTTAAGACTCTCGTATCCTTAAGACTCTAGCTTTAGCTTGCATGCCTTCTCTGATGTGGATTATAGAGGATGTAAAATAGATAGGAAAATCACCTCCGGTACTTTTCAATTCCTAGGAAATATGCTGATTTCATGGTTTTCAAAGAAACAAAATTATGGTGCATTATCTACCACTGAAGCGGAATACATTTCAGTGGGTAGTTGTTGTGCATAAGTTTTATGGATGAAACAACAACTTTTAGATTGTGGAATTGAAGCAGATATTATACCTATCAAGTGTGAAAATACTAGTGCTATTTGTCTCACCAAAAATCCCATCCAACACTCTAGAACTACGCACATTTAAATTAGACATCATTTCATTAGAGATCATGTCGTTAAAGAAGATGTAGTTCTAGAATATGTTGATACTTTGCATCAATTAGCGGATATTTTTACAAAACCTTTAGATAAAGAAAGATTTTGGACACTTTGAGAGATTTAGGTTTAACCAACCTACATTGACTTAGTGTTTAAAATAATTTTAGCACTTTTTAATTAATTTTGAAAAATGCTTATAAAAATAACACTTTTGATTACATTCTTTGCTATTAGTTAGGGGGAGTTAATGATTCTTAGTGAAAATTAATTATATGTTCAAATAATACTCAAGGATAGATTCAATTGATTGAACATTGTTAATTTTCATGATATGAGTTGTCAATACCACTAGTGCTGATTAATTTAGCATTTTGAATGTTTAAAATGGATTTTTGACATTTTTGAGCATAATGCATCGATACACCAGAGAGTGTACCGATGCATCTCTTGAATGTGCATCGATACACCATAAAGGTGCACCGATGCATTCCTTGAATGTGCATCGATACACTCATCGGGTTTTTGGGTTTAAATGCCTAATTTCTTCATTCTTTCAAAACCCCAAACCTAAACCACTCACGTCGTATGCCTCTCTCTCTCTCACCCTTCTCTCAAAATTTACTCAAATCCAATGTTTTAAGTCAGAATTCAACAAGATTTCATCTCATAAACCTGCTAGCAGTCATTAAATCGTACAAAACATCACTACATTTCACTCAATCCAAAATTTCAAGGTAATTTTTCTAAAAAACTATGTTTTATTAATTTTTAAACTTATTACTAGTTTTGATTAGTTCTAGGTTAAACTAAGTATCGGGCATTGATTATATAGTGTTTATAAACTAGATTCTTCAACTAATTTCATCAAAAACACAAGATTTTTCTTCTTTTTTTTAAAAAAAATCGAAATAAAAAAATAATGCTTTTGATTTTAAAATTGATGTTTTTGATTTAATTATGTTGTTTGAAAACTACATATTAATTTTCAAACATTATTTTCAAAATTATTTTCAAACATTATTTTCAAAATTATTTTCAAACATTTCCCATTAGGATTCGGTTTAGAGAACCTTGAATATTGCGGACTCATTTGAGTTTTGGGATTGATTATATTGCAACATGCTTTTCAAATTTGCAGGTTACCTTACCTATTCTGATTTCTTGAACCATGTCTAAACGTCCTAGGACATCGTCTAGTCATTCGAGTCAAAACTGACCTCCTATTCCTCCACCCAATCTAAATCCAAATACAGGTGATCCAAATATGACTATCCTAAATTCATGTTTTAATGTGCCTTGTCGTAGACAAGATCTCTACCATAGGTACCATAATTGTTTTGAGTCATACAAAATTCGAGAAGAGCGTATTCTCTCACTTCAAGCAATGATCGATATGAACTTCGAATATCTTCCTATCCTTCGTTCTTGGAAGTTTGATAAACTTTTCACCTTAAACCTATTATCTATCATCAATTAGTCCGTATTTTCTATTCTAATGCGGTATGTGTCCAAAACGAGTGTCGAGATGCAACCATAGGAATTAGATCTTATCTTCTGGGTCGATTCATTTATATCGCAAATACCTTTGGACTAGACAATGCAGGTTTAGATAATAAAAAAGATATTGTGGCTACTCCCTATCAATCTAATGGTAGTGTTAGTACCTTAAGAACTCATCACGAGCGATTCATTCATTTAATGATCTCTTGGTGGTTTAGACCATCGGGAGGTAGGTACTCCTCTCTTAGGGTCATTGATTTACGATGGATACATTGTATCCAACATAACAAGAAAATAAATTTGCCACAGATTATTTTTGTTGATCTAGTAGATACCGTAAACGTTGTCCCATCCAAAAATGTCAAAACTTTAGTTTACGGATGTCTCCTTTCAAATCTGTTTATCAAACTCGGGCTTAAAGTCACACTTGATATTCCTATCTCTCTCCAAAACTAAATCAATATCACTTACTTAATGAAATCGGGATGGAAAAAGGAAGGTGACCAATGGGTTCGATCCACTAAGCAAACACCGGGAACTAGTTCTTCACGAGCTCCACATCCTCCGGCACCAGCAACGGATGATGATCCAGAACTTCAAGAGCTATTTCAAAATATTGACGATCACGTCCCCGAGGAAGAGCTGGCACAACAAGAAGATCAAATGTCTCCATATTTTTGATCGTTTTTGGAGTCATTTGATCTAAGGTTTGCATCCATAGAGTCCCATCTAACTGCTATGGGGCTCAATAACAAGAGATGAACGAACGTTTAGATGCACTCATACTCAAAATGCAAGCACATTATCCTCCTCTTCCCAATCCTCCTTTGGATGACTAGATCTATCTTGCTTAGTTTTCTTGGATCGACTTTAGGACTCATTGTTAAAACATTTTGAATGTTTTTGGATTGATATGTTTGGATGTTTGAATTTGTTATGGATGTTGGATGTTTAAACTTGAATGCTTTGGATGATTGAACTTAATATATATATTTGGTTTGTTTGAATTTTTAATTTGATCTTCATTAAGTTTTGCATCATTTACATCATATTAGATATATGACCAATTTACCATTTCACATTGTTTATGAATACTGAATTATGGAACTAATGGCTAACGTTTCTCTTGATTGTGATCTTAGCAGCTTAAGCTTTATATTTAAAATCAATTGGCTAAATTTTTCAAAGTCTTATTAAAAACGTTTTATAGATTCTTTTTAATTTAACAAAAAGGGGGAGAATATAGTAAGGGGGAGTAATTTTCAAAATTGATTCAAAAATATTTTCTTCAAAGAAAATCTTAAAATTACTCAAATGTTTTGTTATATCAAAAAGGGGGAGATTGTTGAAAACATTTTGATGTTTCAATATAACAAATTAAGTATAAATAAATTTTAAGATTTTACAATCTTTTCAAAGTATATTCGATTCAATTATTCGAATATCAAAATATTACTCCAAGTTTTTCAAAGATCAATTTCAATCCTTACTAAAGTGTAAAATTGTGTTTTAAACTTAAAATATTTTTGAAACAATTTTTACAAAGTATTTCGAACCAAAATCGAGCCAAAAATCAATTTTATGAAAGGATGTACCGATGCACTCATTTGATGCATCGATGCACACCAATTTCAAATGCATTTTGTGTACCGATGCACAAGCCATGCATCGATGCACTCTTGAATATTTTGGAACATCGAATGCATTTTGTGTACCGATGCACAGATCATGCATCGATGCACTTCTGGCTCTTTTGAAACATCGAATATAATTAGTGTACCGATGCACCCCTAGTGTATCGATGCACTAAGTCATATAACGGTCGAAATATTTGAATTTTATACATAGTGTACCAATACACCTTGACTATGCATCAATGCACACACGCTCCCAACTATTTTATTAAATGATAATTACATAATAACGGCTCTATTGACTTCACCAATGATCTCCAACGTTCAGAAGTGATCCAAGGTGTATTTAAATAAGCTTAGGAGCCATTTATCAACAACAATTAAGAAGAGAAGCTAGAGAATCAAAGAGAAAGCATTTTCAAGCCTATTTCATTCAATATTCATTTTTGCTTTCAAGAACACTTATTGTGCTCAGTTCTATTATTCTTGAGTGTTCTTTCTTTGTTCTAGAATTGTGCAAACATCTTGCCGTGTGAGGTTTTTCTATAAGTTTGTGAAATTTGTATTGTTCTCTTTGGGAGAGAGTGTTCTCAAGAATTTGGGGTATAATTCTTGAGGGATTGGTAAGGTTACTCTTTGTCCTCAAAAGAAAGACAAATTAGTGAATTTGTGGAAAATCCTTAGTGTTGATAGTTAAGGTAGTGGACGTAAACTTTGGTTGAGAAAGTTGAATCACTCTAAAGCGTTGTGCAAATATTTTCAATTTTCTGCAAAAGCTTCCACCAAAATTTTTATTGCCAATTCACCCCCTCTTGGCTATTTCGTTGATCAATTAACTCAACAGTTGACTTCTTAGCTTCTGCCTGGTCTTTACCTGCATCAACTGCCCTTCTTCGAGAATTCTGATATTTAGCAGCCCCCACTAAGACTCTTCTCCCATCAATCCATGTTCCATTGACATTCTCAATAGTCTTCCTCAGACCAGCCTCATTAGCAAACTGAACAAATACGAACGTAAAGGCTTTGTACTTTGGTTTGTTCTTAACACTTGGAAAAAAGACCCTAATGACTGAACCCTGATAATGGAAGAGTTCCCTTAACGCTCTTCTTGAAACTCTCTTGCTCAGATTATCCATGAACGTTGTCCATTCCTCACCAGAGGAAGAATTACTTTTCAAATTCTCTCTCGCTCCCTCTCTACCACTCTCTCTCTCATGTTCGCTCCCCAAAGAACACGTAATAAATGCTTAAACACTTCCTATTGAAAATTTACCCCAATTAATAAATATTAACAAATGGATCCGCTGGGCCCTTATGCAATTCTTAACTAAAGGTGTTTAGCAAACACAAATGCTGTAAAAAAAGTTTTCCTTCAGATGTGTTGAATTCTTGGAATTACCAGCTTTAACTGACAGCTAGATTTTTTTTGACTTCTTTGCTCAATGGTAAAGTAATCGTGAATTTCGCATGATGCTATGGCACATATATGGAAATCACTAGTGGTTGATCCTAAGAGGACTATTGATGAAAATCTGGATTTTATTTTTGATGATCTTCTAATACAATGTGGATCCAAGCTTTGGCATTCTTGTGAGGCATCTTGCCTTGCCCTTGCAGATATTATCCAAGGTCGAAAATTTGATTAGGTGATGAGCTTGATGGTAGTTTATCTTGCCTTCGCAAATGATTTTTATCTTAACCAGTACAATCCTTTGACCAAGTTTGTGCATTAGTTTGAAATTAAAGAGTTCCAAAATTGTTTGACCTTATAAATTGAATGACAAGATTTTGTTTTAGCATATGAATAAGATTGATATGCGTAGCTTCCTTGTTGTCAAAATGCCATTGTTCTGAATATTTACGTCTGACACTAGTGTGATTAAAGAAAAACTATTAGCCCTTACATTTTGTGTGATTGAGCTCCATTTTAAATTTGAGCTTGATTTATTTTGGCTTTTTTATCATCAAGCTAAAAGAAAACTTAATCCCACCCATTAAATGACATGCAGTCAAATAAAAGAAAAGATCACCGAGGATCACTAGATATTTGGTCTCTATAGATCATGAATAAGTCTCTTGAATCTCTAAATATCTCAAATAGTGAATCACTTGAATCCCTAAGTAGTTATTTTATCCTCCCGCTTGTAGTTACTTACCACTACAGAAATGTTTCATGGAGTACTGGAGGCTCCACTTCAATAGAAACATGCATCATAATGCAAGTATCCAGATAACTTGGTAATGTAGATTTAAAAGTCATGTGTTGAAAAACAATTTCGACAGAATATGTTGCCATAAACTTGGTCCAATTTGAGGATTCATGTTGTTCAAGGTTGCTGGTTTAGAACTGATGTTGCATGAATTAAATATGAGTGGTCATTTCCCTTACATTTTTTAACTATGATTTAGAAGGACATAATAAGTTATTTACAATTAACTGTCTAAGCTCATAGATTTCTTATGAGTTGTTTGATTATGAAATTTTGAACGATTATTTTGTCTGAAACTCTGAATGGATCCTGATAGCAAACGGCATGTCATAATCATGCATTTTGTAACCAAGAATTATCTGTAATATTTTCATAGCGTGGATTATAGTTTTACTATTTCGTTCTCAAGAAATAAAAAATTGTTGTATTTCCTAATTTTGAACTTGTTTCTTCATCAAAATTTATTTAACAACATTATTAACATGGTAAAATTGGTTACAATACCCCTGAAGTTTCGTATTAACACATCCATCAATGTTACAGTTCCAAGTGAAAGATATATTTCTTATGCATTTTCAGGCTTCATCATGATCCAACTTATATGCAAAATAGAAATTTCACGGTCAATTTTTATGGTATTCTGTTATGTTGTGATGTCTAGCAATTCCTGTAGTGTGCAATTCCATTGACATTCTTGTCCACTAGGTTGGGAAGCATTTGAAGAAAATATGAGTGGCTGCTTTTCGTGCCATGGATGACATCAAAGAAACTGTGCAAAATGCTGGTGACAAACTATGTCGTGCTGTAACCTCACTAACAATAAGGCTCTGTGATGTGTCCCTTATTGAAGCATCAGATGCAAGCCAATCGATGGATATTGTTCTTCCCTTTTTGCTTGCAGAAGGCATATTGAGTAAAGTTGACAGTATCAGGAAGGCATCAATCGGAGTTGTTATGAAGCTTGCAGAGGTTGGCAATATTTGAAATTATTTCACCTTCACAAGTACAGTACAGATCAAGTTAGAATTTATTTATCATTTTATCTTCCAGTTTTTAGATTTTCTGTGAACTCAAATGGCTTCAAGAATTGAGTACTTAATATGCCTTAGTTTAAAAAATAAGGGAAAAAAATCCTTTTTACTTCTTGTCATACTGAAATGTCCCTCGATAAAGTAAATAAGTATTGATGGTTGTACTTACTGTTGCCCCATCATACTGTTATACAGAAGTTAATAACGCCCTTCAAATAATGTCGAGATCCGAACCCTAACTTTGCTTAAGGGATTTAGTGCCTCATCCACTAGACCAATGGATTGTTGGTGAGCAGATCATATCTTTAGTTTAAGTGATGTCCTCTTTTATAACTTTCATCAATTTTAAATTGGCCATCCTCTCCTTCCATTGACATTTGTATATACTCTTAAATTAATGTGGGTAATTGCTACTTATTTTTCTTCTTGTTTATCACTTGACCTTATTTAGGTTTTATGTCTCTGTTTTTTCCTTTACTTAATTAACCATTTACTGAATTGGGGTTTATCTACAGGGTGCAGGAGTTGCAGTTCGCCCACATTTATCGGATTTAGTTTGTTGCATGCTGGAAAGCTTATCAAGCCTAGAGGACCAAGGACTCAATTATGTTGAGGTTTGGAGGAAGTTCTTTCTTCAGTTTTTCAAACTATTCCTTGCATTCCTTTGATATTGATCTGCTTTCCCTTTCCTTTCTTCTATTTGCATGCATCAAATGTTGGAATTCAAACAGAGAAGCTAGAAAATCTGCGACTTTCAATTGCGAAAGGATCTCCAATGTGGGAGACTCTTGACCTGTGCATAAATGTTGTAGATAACAAATTATTAGAGATGCTGGTTCCACGTCTTGTTAACTTGGTTCGATCTGGAGTTGGCCTCAATACAAGGTTGGTACTAATTGCTATTTTAAATTTAATATTAATATCAAGGACTGATATCTCAATACACTTTTAAGAAAATTTTTTTTGCCCTTTTCTGCATATTTGACTTGGAAAATGTTCCCTCTGGGTGATACTTGAACTTGAATGTGGATTGTTCCTGTATCAGATAGCTTTTTTATTTTTTTTATTGTCCTTAAAATATGAGCTGTCACTGAATTTGTTTTCCATTTTGAAACATTGTTTCTAAACCTGCCAGACTTACGATTCACTACATAATTACTGGTGTTACCATTCCGATTCTAGGCTTGCAAAGTAGTAAGTATAATCCCTTTCTGAGAGATTTAAATACAAGGTGATGTGATGAATAGTGCAATTCGGGAAGCAATATCTTAAGAACGTACTAAATCTGTTAAGACTTGAGATTTTTATCCCCTTGGCCTTATTTTCCTTGTAAATCCCTGTGTATTATATCTGTTGGGAGGTGTCAATCCATCTAAAACAGTTACTTTTATTTTGATTAGCTTTATTCTGATGTGGCAGAATCTCCATTAGAAGATTGCATTTAACCAAAGTCGTAAAAAAACAGAAAAGTACTTTTTTTATTTACACTTGCTTGAATGAAAGAACTTTCCTTTTAGTCCTATGTAATATAATGCTTGTGTGCTAAAATGATTTTCTTTTTGGTGATATAAATATATAATAATGAGAAATACATCTCTAAACTTAAAAGATGACAAATTTATGTTGTCTTTACTTCGCACAGGGTTGGTGTTGCCACCTTTATCAACTTATTAGTTCAGAAAGTTGGTGTGGATATCAGACCCTAAGCAACATGCTATTAAGGCCATTGTTTCCTGTTGTTAAGGAGGAGAAAAGTTCTGCGGTAAAACGTGCATTTGCAAGTGCTTTGGCTGTTGTTTTGAAGTATTCAACTCCATCTCAAGCCCAAAAGTTGATAGAAGACACTGCAGATTTGCACACCGGTGACAGGAATGCTCAAATATCCTGTGTATACTTGATGAAAAGCTTTTCATCCATTGCTTCAGATGTTTTAAGCGGATATAATAAAGTGATAATTCCGGTGATCTTTATGTCAAGGTGTGGATACATTTTCATCTATGCTGTTTTTGCGTCAGTTTGTGTCCCTTATTCTTCCAATTTAGTGGTTACTTACTCTAGAACCTTATACACGATATATGGCTATTGTAAATGGCATTTGGTGCTACATGTTACCCATTGCCAAAGATCATCCAAAACCTCAAACAACAGCCCTAAAGCAGTTGAAAGATTTGAACACTCTAGAGAATATCTGAAGGTAAATTTAGAGTTCTGGGTAAGAATAAGTTGACTTTAAAGAGTAACTAGATAACAGCGTTCTTTATTATTGTTTTTGTACTTTCTATAGATAGTAATGTTAGCTCATCCAACTTTCATTGACATCAAATACAATTAGGAACATATAAACTTGATAATTATCGCCCTCGATGTCTTACAAATGTATGCGAAATAGAATTTCAAATTTTCCAATTTCTAGTTATTGAAGTTTTGCATCTAGAAAACTTTGTCAAGCTCATCCGCCCATAGATTTGCAGTAATACGCAATCATTTCATTTAGTTCTCTGAAATAGTTTTCTTTGCCTTCTTTCCCTTATTCAAATCCGCATAAAGTATCTTCAGCAACCAAGCTGTGGATAATATTTTTGAACTTCCATTCTTATCAAGCGCAATCAAAATAGCTATTATAGTTGAAAACTAATGATTCTTAAATTCATTTGTTAATGGTTCTGCAGATTTGAGGATGACAAACACATTTCCAGTCTTTTTGAGGAGCTCTAGGAAGAAAGCATAAGTGGCGAACGAATAACACTACAGTTGTATATGGAGGAAATCGTTTCAATTATTTGTTACAGCATTGCATCATCTTCATGGGCAAGTAAACGAAGAGTAAGTTTTCCTTTTCTCTTCCTTCTTGTAGTCCTATTTTCTTCCGACTTTGCTTCTGCTGTATGCTAACCGAAGATGCTTGTTTGTATTTTGCACCTGCAGTCAGGTAAGGCAATCTGCAAGCTTAGTGAAGTTCTGGGTGATTCCTTATCTTCTTATCTTGTTCTCCTGAAATCTCTTATGAAGGAAATTCCTGGTCGTTTATGGGAGGTAGGAATACCGAGATGTGTTATGACCTGTAGTAGGTTTTGATGTTGTAATATTAGTTTTCTCACTGTAATTTTCAATTTTGAACATGATTGGGAAAGAAACCCTATTAGATAGGTCTGTAAATGAACTGATCGTTCAGTGAACCGTTCATGATCCGTGCGGCGGGAAGTTCGTTTATTTATTAAATGAACGAACATGAACAAGATTTTGCGTTCTTTTAATTAAATGAACAAACACGAACAAAGGGTCCGTTCGTTCATTTACGTTCGTGAACGTTTGATTATATGTTCGTTTATGTTTGTTCATTTTTGTTCTTTTATGTTTGAACAAAGGACAAGTTGAATATGTTACGAAGATTATTGAAGTTGTTTAGATTTAAAAAAGATTGTTTTGTTGAACAAATTAACTTTAAGACTTTATTATGTTCATATAGCTTATTTATGATTTATGTATGTTTTTATCGTATTCGAACAAATTCTCTAAAGTTGCATGTTATATTAAAGAATTTTAAGTTGTTATTCTTATTGTTTACTTTTTTTTACATTCATTTGTTGTGTTCGAATAAGTTTTTTTTTGTGTTTGTGTTGTTCGTTTATGTTCATTTATTATGTTCGTTTATGTCCTTTCGTTTGTGTTCGTTTACGTTCGTTTGTGTTCGTTTGTGTTCGTTTATCATTTACATGAACGAGCTATATTCCTTAATGAACGAACATGAACAATTTTTTTTGTTCGTTTATGTTCGTGTTCGTTCGATTCGTTTACAGGCCTACTATTAGATGCTATAAGCGCCCTTTCTGCATCCAACCATAAAGCAATTTCCACGGAAGATCCTGCTCTTCCCGGTACTATTTTGAGTCAGGTGTCTTCTGCGTGCACAAAGAAAGTCAAGAAATACCGAGAAGCTGCTTTTTCCTGTCTTGAACAGGTAAACAATGTTTGTGTTTTCTTGGAACGGTTTAGCCCATGACTGTCTTGGCTATGTATTATACAAATGATTTATTAGGTAAAACCAATAATTCCATGTTTAGCCCTAGACTTTGCTCCTTACATTCTTTGAATAGTAATTGAAAAAAAAGGGTTAAAAAATCTCTACCTGTCATTTTTTGTGACAAGCAACGACTTGGTAATAAACAATAACCCTTAAGAAAATTGTATGGGAAAAGAATCAATGTAAACGGATTGGTTTGAGACACTACAGCAAAATTGAGTTTCAGCGGCATTTTTTCAATCCTATAGCGGCGTTTTTAAGCGCCGCTAAGCAATGGGAAAAATGTCGCAAGAAGCGCCGCCATACCAGCGTCGCTAAAGTTAGCGGCGTTTGACAACAAAAAACGCCGCAATAGGTCAAGATCTATAGCGGCGTTTTTGGAACAAACGCTGCAAATGGTCGATATCTATAGCGACATTTTTGGAACAAATGCCGCAAAAGGTCGATATCTGTGTTTGTTCCAAAAGATAGAGATCTATAGCGGCGTTTTTGGAACAAACGTCGCAAAAGGTCAAATCTACAACGACGTTTTGTAACAAACGCTGCAAAAGTTTAGATCTATAGCAACGTTTTTGGAACAAACGCCGCAAAAGATCGAGATCTATAGTGTTGTTTTGGAACAAACGCTGCAAAAGATCGAGATCTATCGTAAAAGGTCAGATCTATAACGGCGTTTTTTTATACAAACGCCGCTAATTACCTTTCTTTAGCTAAGATGATTTTGCATATTTCATTTCTGCTCTACATCACCTAAATTTAATATCATCTAGCTTTTTCTAATTAACAACCATACATTTTAATAAAGACGCAAGTTATGTAGAAAAATACTTAACAACAAAATAAATTAAAATTTATAACCATTAAAAATAAATGTATTGTAGTTTGACATTTTAGCTTGGTAATTCAATCTCTCAAAGAGAAAGTATGCATTTGAAACAGAAGATTTGGCAACTATATCAACATACTATATAAAATTAGTTATGAATGATTCCTATACATAGCTGAAGAGCTAAACAATCATGCTTTCAGAAAACACTTGAAGACAAAGATCATGCATGCTGGTAATAGATTACTAGGCGAGTACTCCAGTAGCACCGAGGAGCAAAAAAATTAACGACCAAAATTGGATACCTGCAAGAAAAACCATTCAAAACAAGTAAATAGAGGTATCACTAAGAGTGGCATTTAACAAAGAAAGCACCAAAGCTGGGAACATAGCGTATAAATTAAGTGGTTTACAATATTTGCATTCAACTTACTCATTTGCAATTTTGTCAAAGTTATCACTATTCAGTGGTATGGAACCCTGAACAACTTCATCATCAACTTCCTTTTCATGCTGAATGACTTGTGGAACCGGTTCTGAACGATACTCAGCACCCGTGAGCCTTAAATCTGGATCTATAGTAAACTTTCAAATTTTTTTTGTTATATTCAACCTGTTCTGTTAACAGAATGCACAAAATTAGTCATCTGGACCAGAGTTCACATGTTAAAATGACACCACGAAAATACACACAAAGAACTTGAAGAACGGAATAAGAGTACAAATATTGACAGGAAAATATTAAACCATGCAATTATTGTAATTCAGAATTCCTTCCCTGCAAGAACCATAACCCATGCAATTATTGTAAGAACAATGCTTCGGTGATAGAAAAACCCAAGGGTTGAAACAGAAAGTGATTTCCATCCAACTTACACTACCAAATCCTCATCGAAGAGAGGTGTTTGTTTAATGGCTGGTATCGGCTTGGCTGTATCCCACAGTTCACGCCACAGATTACCTAAAACGTATAAAATTCAAATATCAGAATCAACCATAGAAATATCCTAGCAAGTGAAACAACCCATAGGTTAAGAATGTCAAACAAATACTTCAAGAGGTAAAAACCCTCCACCTAGAAAACTTTCAGAATTCATTCTCCTAAAACGAGTTGCATACGAACATAATAAAAGTTCATGGAAATATACAAATATTGTGAATGAAATGAATCAATGTTCATATGTCAAAAGTAAAAACTGACCAAAAAGGAGCTAAATTGCAGCAAACTTAATCTAAGTAGCAGAGACTGGGATAAAGAGAAAAAACCTTATTTTTTCATTCGACAACTTAGTTGACCTCTTATAACCGAAGAGTTAACCTCATCGCTCGGCTCAGCTTCAGTCCAATCAGAAGGAGATCCATCATAAAAAAGGTGAATGTTAAAGAGAAACACATCTCCAAACAAAAGCAAATGTCCTATCAGTCACATACAGAACCTTCCTGTATCAAACAGATGATGAATCAAAGCAAGCACTCTCGCATCATCACCAAAGCCAGATGCAAGTTTATCCTCTTTATCTCGAAGAACTAATGACTTCACTACAGAGAAGGTCAGACCCATCCTTTCCTTCACGGGTGAAGAATATCCAGAAGATGCCAAAAAATCTTTCTTAAATTTAAAATTACTTCCAGCCCTGGAACCAAAAGGCAAGCACAAAAAGATAAGAACACCATACACAAGTTGAATATGACAATTAAATAGATCACATATTTGACCACTTAAATTGATCTCAGAAGCAAGAAATACTTTGTATCAAAATATTAAATAGTATGGCAAAGCAATGTTAATGGTCCAGAAAGTAAATTCCAATAAAGGTAGCAATTTACAAATCAACATATTTCATGAGGCATCAAATGAATTTCAATGTCAGCAATAGCAGAAAACAAACAGCTGAAGTCAAGAATCGAAAGACTTACTCAACGACTAAAGCTAATTGCTTGATAACAGATGTTGAAGGAAAGTTATTGGTGTACATGGTATTTAAAATGTCTATAGAGGGAATAGCTTCTAAAGCCTGTATGACAACAATCTCATTAAGAAATCCCTTCATTTGAATTTTATTAGAACAGAAAAAAAACATTTTAATTCTCATTACAGCAACTCTTGTAACATCCCAAATTATGGGTTAGTGACCAAATTGTAAAGTTTCAGAATTTGATGACTAAAGTAGAAGAATGAAATAGTTCAATGATTATTGGATATATATATGATGAAGGTTATTTAGTAATTATTAAAGGAAATAAAGGGTAAAATGGGCATTTGATCATTTAAGGAATTAAATAAATGTGATAGTGGATATATATATTTTACACGTGGGAAATGAGGGAAACAATGTTTCCAGAATTCTCTTCTCCTCATTTCTTCTTTGTGCGTGAAGCTCCAGCTCAAAGGTGAGTTTCTTAATTAGTTGGTTATTTGTTGAATTAAAAATTGGGTTATGATTCTTAGGTGATACTTAAGCTTAAGGAAAGCTTAAGTTATCTTAAAAATCAAAAGATAAATGAGTTAGGGGAGATTTAAGATTTGGAGTTATTGAGTGAATTTCCAGAATAAAGTTGATAAGTTGAATTTGAAGCTAAATTTGACTTGTCATCAGCTTAATTAAGAAGTATTAAGTGTTAGAATTGGATTTGAAACATGTGGAAAATAGGGTATGATTCTTGAAATTCCTAAAGAGGAGAGGATATTAAGGTTAAAGATGAGATAAATGAATATTAATGAGTTTAAGTATGTATATGAAAGTTAGGAATATGAAAGGGGTTGAAATATGAAGGATTTAATCCAAAAAGAATGAATTTTCGGGTTCAAAAAGAGGTTCTGGGCAGAGTGCATCGATGCACATTCATAGTGCACCGATGCATCAATGTTAAAATCCAGAAATTTTTTGAAGGTGTATCGATGCATTGGTAGTGCATCGATGCACTCTTTTAAAATAAATACATCGAATGCAATTAGTGCATCGATGCATAAGGCATGCATCGATGCATCCCAGTAATAATACAACATCGAATACATTTTATGCACCTATGCATCAGTAGTGCATCGATGCATACCTTCATTAAAAGATGAAATTGCCTTTTATCTTAGTCTAAAGAGTGAACCATTAGAGTATATTAGTTATAATACTAATATAGATCTATGTATAATGATGTAGATATAGAACGTGATCCCGTTCTGGATCAATTGAAGGA